GATATTGTTCTGTAAGACCAAGCCTAAGTCTCATCAAAACTAATAAGAATTGCTCAGTCAGGGATAAACTATAGCTGTCTTCCTCCTCCAGTTGACCATAAGTTATAAAGTCAAAGCAAATGTCAAATAATTCCTCATTTACGAAACCTGTAAAGAACTTCAATTTTTGTTTGTCGCGTTTTATGTTTTGTGAATTGATTTCTTTCTCTTTGTACCATTTCAGTTGATTTTCTAAGGATTTTATAGCTTCATCTTTTTCGTTTTCTTTTTGGTGTAGCTCRCTAGCTTCAGAGAGAGTTTCTAGTCTTAACGGATCTAATTCGCTGTTGTTTTGGTGTAGCTCACAAGCTTCGGAGAGAGTTTCTAGTCCCAARTGATCGTGAGTTGATTCTTCGTTGTTTTGCTGATAAGAAGTCTTCTCCATTTCAGCTGCAATTAGTAAGCTTTCGATTGATCCTAAATTACCGGTTTCAGAAAGGGTGCCAGGTTGTTTCGTGGATTCTGAATTYCTTGCTGTGGTGCCCGTAACGTCGTCCGACGTAGGCTGCTCTGCTTCATGTCGATCGCTCACAGCTGCAACTCTTCCTCTCGTTGGTCTTGGTACAGACTTTTTTGACCAGGCAAAAATACAGGGAATGTCATTCGGGCCTATTCTTTGAGGATTCCCTTCGAAATGTTCACTGCAAACTCGAGTGAACTGGTTGACTGGAATGCTCTTGCAGCGAATCCGTCGCAGCCATTCTTTCAATAACTTCGGATTTTTCAGCGGCAAACGATAAAAGCGAATATCACTTTCACGGCTATRCCGATTAGTGCAATAAGGAACAGCACAGCTGTTTACCATATTTTTTTAAGAAGCTGTTTGTGGATTTTGCTAAAGAGATAGGCTTTTGGTACTAGGATATAACTGGAAAGAAGCGATCTTTCCTTGACAGCCATCGAGTTTGTTTTGCCCTCCAAGGAAAATTAGCCAATCATAATGAAACAAGATTTTTGGTCACGTGGTGGGTGACAAAAGGCCATTAAAGCGCTTTTAATCTCATAAAAAAATCGGTTTGGGCACCCTGTGCTGTCGTGACGTCATTTCGTGACGTCAGGTCGTGGTCGTGGTTTGTTTTGATAAGAAGGAAACCTATAATCGTGTCCTTTTCCCGGGCTTTTTATTTCTTTAATTATGGCTATGCATTTTCAATTCGAGCTCGAATATGACGACAATGAGTTAACAGATCAATAAGACAGCTTTGATCACGAAAAAGAATCGAGTGAAGAATATAATATGGAAGAAAATTCGGAAGAAGTATCGTGGTGAATGCGGGCTGTGTGTGAAGATTGAAACAACTGAAATGTGTGTTTTCTGTATCGATTTCGTATTTAACTGGAGCAAATAAAAAAAGGAATGAGTAAAAGTAAGCTCTATAGAATGTTTTATATTATCAATACCAATCTATTTTCTTTAAATGACTCTTGAGTAACGAAACACGAAAGCTCGCG